TCTTTTTTGAATGTTCAGTAAAACTCCCCCGTGAAGCCATCTGGGCACGGGCTTTTTGTTTGCTGGGAGAGTTTTGATTACCTCTTCAATTTCCTTAGTTATTATTGGTCTGTTCAAGTTTTCTATCTCTTCCCGGTCCAGTTTTGGGAGACTGTGTGTTTCTAGAAATTTGTGCATTTCATTTAGATTGTCGAATTTGTTGCATATAGTTGTTCATAGTAGCTGTTAATGATCTTTTGTATTTTTGTGGTGTTGGTTGTTACTTCTCCTCTTTCATTTCTGATTTTGTGTATTTGGGTTCTCTCTCTTTGTTTTTTGGTGAGTGTAGCTAAGGGTCCATCAATCTTGTTTATCTTTTCAAAAAACCAGCTCTTTGTTTCTTTGACCCTTTGAATTGTTTTTTTGGTCTCTATGCCATTTATTTCTGCTCTGACCTTTACTATTTTCTTCCTCCTACTAGCTCTGGGTTTTCCTTTTTGTTTGCTTTCTAATTCCTTAAGTTGTGAGGTTAGACAGTCAATTAGAAATTTTTCTTGTTTCTTGAGGTAGGCCCATGAACTTCCCTCTCAGAACTGCTTTCACTGCATCCCATAGATTTTGTATTGTTGTGTGTTCATTTTCATTGGTTTCCAGGAAGTTTTTAATTTCTTCCTTGATCTCCATGGTAACCCATTCATTGTTTAATAACATGCTATTTAGCCTCCATGTGTTCAAATGTCTTTGCATGTTCTTGTTGCAATTAATTTCTAGTTTCATGCCATTGTGATCTGAGAGGATGCTTGATATGATTTCAATCTTCTTGAACTTGTAGAGATTGAGTTTGTGGTCTATCTTTGAGAATGTCCCATGTGTACTTGAGAAGAATGTGAATTCTGTAGTTTTGGGGTGTAATTCTCTGTAGATATCTATTAAATCCATTTGGTCTAGCGCTTCATTTAGAGTCTCTGATCTTTGCTAATTTTTTGTCTAGAGGATCTATCCAGTGGTGTCAACAGGGTGTTGAAGTCCCCTGCTATGATTGTATTGCTGTCAATTTCTCCTTGGAAGTCCTCCAGAAGATTTTTAATATATTTTGGTGCTCCTATATTCAGTGTATATATGTTTATCAAGGTTATATCTTCCTGTTGGATAGATACTTTCAATATTATGTAGTGGCCTTCTTTGTCTCTAGTTATGGCCTTCATTTTGAAATCTATTTTATCAGATATGAGTATTGCTACCCCAGCTTTTTTTTGCTTTCCATTTGCTTGGAAAATTTTTTTCTATCGCTTCACTTTCAACCTATGTGAGTCTTTTGTTGTGAGGTGGTCTCTTGTAAACAACATAAAGATGAGTCATGCTTTCTTATCCAATCAGCTACTCTGTGTCTTTTTATCAGAGTATTCAGTTCATTTACATTTAAGGTGATTATCGATATGTACTTGTTTATTGCCATTTTTGTTTAGTGTGGTTATATTTTTCTTCCTATTTTTTCTACTAATTACAGTAGTCCTTGTAACATTTCTTGCAGTGCTGGTTTGGTGCTAATGTATTCCCTTAGCCTTTTTCTTTTTTGTCTGGGAAGCTCTTTATTTGACCTTCTATTTTGAATGATAGCCTTGCTGGGTAAAGTAGTTTTGGATTCAGATCCTTGTTTTTCATGACCTTGATTACTTCATGCCATTCCCTTCTGGCCTGTAGTGTTTCTTGTGAGAAGTTAGCTGAGAGCCTTATGGTGTTTTTTTTTGTGTTTTTTTTTGTTTTTTTTTGTAGGTAACCTGTTGCTTATCTCTTGCTGCTTTTAGGATTCTCTCTTTGTCTTTAATTTTTGGCATTTTAATTACTATGTGCCTTGGTGTGGGCCTGTTTGGGTTCTTCTTACTTGGGGCTCTCTGTGCCTCTTGAACTTGAATGCCTTCTTCCTTCACCAAATTAGGGAAGTTTTCTGTCACTATTTCTTTGAATATATTCTCTGACCCTTGCTCATTTTCTTCCTCTTCGGGGACTCCTATGACGCGAATATTATTACGTTTCCAGTTGTCCCACAGTTCTCTTAAGCTGTCTTCCTGTTTTGTAATCATTTTTTCCTTTTGGTTTTCTGATTGGTTGATTTTTTTTCTACCCTGTCTTCTAATTCATTGATCCAGTCCTCAGCTTCCTCTACTCTGCTTTTTAGACCTTCCAATGTGTTTTTCATTTCTGATATGTCATGTTTCATCTCTTCTTGATGGTTTTTAATTTTCCATTGGTTTATTTTCAGCATTTCTCTGTCCTTACTCATGCTGTTGAGCTTCCTCAAGATCATGGCTCTGAATTCTAGCTCTGTTAACTTGCCTAACTGCTCCACATTGATCTCATCTTCGGTGGAGGTCTCTTGTTCTTTCATTTGGCTTTTGTTTCTGTGTTTCACCATTTTGGCTATCACAGTGGGCTTTGGAGCCTGTCAAGTTTTCCCTGTTGGTGTTGGTATTCTGCTGTTTGTGGCTCCTTCTCCTGGGTTTAGATGAGCAAAGGAGGACCCACGTTAAACACCACTGTCAAGTCTTACTTTCCTGGTTAAAGTTGCCAGCCCAGGAAAGGTACTGTTATCCTCTAGCTTTTTGCCTGGAGGCTAGCAGTCAAGGTTACTTGAAGAGTTTTGGGTTGTCAGTTGATTGAAAAAGTCCCTCAGGTGCTCAGCATAAGAGGATTTCTGGAGGGTGGGGCAGATGCTGGTTGTTAATGAGCCTCAATTAGCATTTCAATAGCCCACGTGGTGGGGTTGGATCTCTGAGGGAGTGGCTGCTGCCTCTCCTCAGAGCCCTGGAGAGAGATGGCCACCGTCCTTGGTGGCAGCAACTCAGCAAAAGCTGTGAGCACCCTCCAAATCCCGAGTGTCCCCACACAGTTCCAGTCCAGTCTGCCCTCCCTCTGCCGGAGCCCAAGGTGAGTGGCTGTGGCTGTTTCAGCCTCTGTCCCGGCTGCGCTGTGGAGCCGCCTGGGAGTGTAACCCGAGGGCGCTGCTCCCAGCTGAGGCCGCTGCCGAGCTGCCGACCGTGGGCTCCCAGCCCCGTCTCGCGCCTTCGCAATCCTACCGGGATCGAGTCAGTGTCCCTGGTTATATGGTCCTCGCAAGCTGCTTTTCTGTTGCTTTTTCCCGTCGATTTGTCTGTGTTATGGTTGTAATTCCAGTTTGGTTCTGGGAGATGGTCTGTGTAGCTTCCGTACACTCCGCCGTCATTTTGGAATCCTGCATCTGAGTTTTTAATGGTTGTGTTGGGGACATGCATTTGTGATAGACTGTCATGCATATTAGAGAAAAGAACAGCAATAGGTTGAGGTATAATGACATGCTTATACCAAGTGAAGGTCAGAATACAGTGCAGAGACCCCACAGGAAGGAGCTTGCACTGATCCTGTAGATCCTAGGGTAGTTTAGATGGAGAAGGGAAGAAGAAATGTTCATGATATTAAATTAGCATGACTTGGTGAATGTCTCTTGAGGAAGGAGGGTAGGATGATGAGGGAGAGAAAGTTCAGGATGACTTGTCATGTTTCTCAACCCTGAGCAACAGAGATTTATTCTAAAGAAGAAAAAATTCTTATAGCATCTGGTGTTGACTTGAATTAATTATATGATAATATAACTTAAATGTGTATATACCTAGTTAGGTGTAAATTTTTTTTATTAGACTAATAAAACCAAAACATAGTTACAAATTAAATATAAAAAACTATAAAACCAGTTCATTCTAAATTAACAACTTTAACTTTATATGACAAATGCTATTGTTTTGATAAAACTAGATCACTACTTGAAAACTAAATATAGCACAAACTACTACAGTACAGGATGTTTTGAGTTAGGACAGAAAACAGTGGTGAAGAATTGTCAGTATAGCTCACAAACACACCAAACCCTTTTATTTTATTTATTTTTTTGTTTTTATTTTTTTTATCCTCACCCGAGGACATTTTTGCATTTATCTTCAGATAGAGTGGGAGGGTGAGGGGGGTGAAGAGAGAGAAAGAGAAATATCAGTGTGGGAGAGACACAGAGACACATTGAGTGATTGCCTTCCACAGTACCCCAACCGGTGCCGGGGACAAACTGGAACCAAGGTACGTGCCCTTAGTGAGTACTGAACCTGGGACTCTCTGGTCTGCAGGCCAATGCTCTAACCGCTGAGCCAAACCAGCCAGGGCACACCAAACCCTTTTAAAGAAGAGGCCCTATTTTCTTCAAGTTTAAGAAACTTATTTTAAACTCCAAGGGTCTCTTCATTTGAAAGTCTTCTCTAACAAACCCATCTAGATTGGAAGCCCCTCTTCTGGGTCAGTGTAGAGTTATACCATTTCAAAAGAAATTTTTTATAAGAGTTTATTTGAGCCAAAACTGATGATATATGCCAGGGATCATGATCTCAAATGCTGCGTTTTATCATTCAATTTACCTCATAACATTGTGATTCTTATGTATTTGTTTTTCACTGAAAGCAGTTTTTATTTTAATTTTTTTTAGTCCTCACCCGAGGACATTTTTCCTTTTTTTTTTTGTTCAGGTAGAGTGGGAGGGAGAGAGAGGAAGAGAGAGAGAGAGAGAAACATCGATGTGAAAGGAACACCTCGAGTGGCTGCCACCCACACAACCCACCAGGGCCGGGGACAAACTGCAACTGAGGTATGTGCCCTTAGCGGGTACCGAACCCGGGTCTCTCAGGACCACAGGCCGACGCTCTAACTGCTGAGCCAAACCGGCCAGGGCGAAAGCAATTTTTAAAAATGCCCTCAGAACCCTGGCCTGGTGACTCAGTTCGTTGGAACATTATGCCACACAACAAAAGGTGGTGGGTTGATTCTTGGTGAGGGCACATACCTGGGTTGCAGGTTTGATCCCCTGTGGGGGTGCATACAGGAGGCAATCAGTCAATGTTTCTCTCTCTTTCTCTCTTTCCTTTTCTCCTTCTGGTACACCTATAATGTGGATATTGTTATGTTTCATATTGTCCCCAAAGTTCCCTTAAACTATCCTTCTGCTTTAAAAAAATATGAAATGCTTCACAAATTTGTATGTTATCCTTGTAGAGGGGGCATGTTAATCTCTTCTGTATCATTCCAATTTTTGTATATGTGCTAACAAAGTAAGAACTAGCCTTTGCATTATAATAGTTTTATTAGTATATATCTTAGAGTTGATCATTTTAGATCAGTATTCTCAGGTAAATAATGGGCCATTTGATATTTTAAAGTTTCTTTCTAATCTCCAGAATATTTTCTTAAGTTATAGTAGTAAATATTGGTTATACTCCACTGTTTTGTTTTTCTTCGTCAGAAAAACTGACAGAAATTAAGTATAATTCTGATCATATATGTGTTAGACCTTCCTGCATGGCTTCCATTTTAACTACTTTCCACTTTCTCCCACACTTTTGCTTCTTTTCCTTATTTTCATGTTTGTGGTTGTTTTTCTCCCCTCCCCCCTTTTTTTGTTAATTCTTACCTGAAGATATTCTTTCCATTGAGTTTTAGACAGATTGGAAGGAAGGGAGGGAGGTGGGGGGTAGGGGTGGGGAGAAAGAAACATTGATATGAGAGAGACACATTAATTGGTTGCCTCCCAGATGTGCCCCGACTGAAGCCAGGGATCGAACTTGCAACCCAGGTACGAGCTCTTGCCTGGGAATCAAACACGTGACCCTTCAGTGCAAGGGCCAATGCTCTAATCACTGAGCAGCACCAGTCAGGGCTGTGGTTGTTTTTCTTATTAGACTTTAATTCAAATTAGATTTCCATTTTCCCAATATTCTGTCTTGGGGGACCTTGTAATTTATTCATTTCTGAGATAGTTTTGTTTTTTTCTTTAAAATTTTTTTAGTTTAATCTACTGTTACTGCATTTCTTCCTTTATGTAGATCTTCCTAAGTCTATTTATGGTTTTTGTTTCTTTAGATTTCTGATTCTAGACTTTTAATATATCCAGATATTTGTTGGACATCATTTAAATAAGCTTGAATCTATTCTATTTTGTGGTTGGCATTTTTAGAAAAAATCTCTAGGAGACATTTAGTTGAAATGTTTTGATTCATATGCTCTATTTTTCCCTCTTACAATAGCTCTTATGGAATTTGTTTCCTATTGCAAAGCATTTCCTGGACAATTTCTGGTTCATAAGCACTCTCTTCTCTTGTTTTAGTAATGCATTTTAGAGGTGTTGACATGACTTATTTTTCTTTTATTTCTGCAGGATCCTTAAATTTTGCCTTTTACTTCCTTCTTTCCCTTCACTGCCACCTTCCAAAAGCCTCTACTCCTTCTTTATCTCTTTTTCTCCAAGAAGAGATATTTCCTCTTTTATTCTTCTGGTCCTACTCACTTTCAAGCCCCTTCCTTCTGTCTGGTGCCATGAACTACCAAGTGTCCATATTTTGGCACTGATGTTGGACTGTCTATGTCTAGGGTAATTTTGTTTGTGTTTTGCTTAGGTCTTTGGCTGCATGCTGCTCTTTTTTCAGAGTTGCTTGAGCCTCCTGTGCCACTACTCCCACGGGCAGCATTGGTGGTGGGAGCCATGTGTTCTATTTCTCTACTTGTAGGTGACTTGAAATTCATAGTAGTCCCTGTGTCATAGTGATGTTGAAAGCATAGGTCACACTTGGTCTTATTTGTACTCCTTGTTGGTCTTTCCGCCTCTAGAACTATGAGATATACATTTCTATTGTTTGTAAGCTTCCCAGTCAGTGATATTTTGTTATAGCTGCTTGAGTGGACTAAACAATGGTCATTTTATTTATTTATCAATATTCAAAACAGTGAGTGGGTATAGTAGCAATATCTGTAGGTGACCCAATGAGTTGTTTATTTATTTTTATTTTTTCATAATGAGCTCATGGATTTCATAATGAATAAAAAAAAATATCTGTAACTTCTCTAACATACCCATCTACTATTTTATTTTTTACATATTATTTTCTGATATTTTGTCCATTGGCTTACATACTTTTACCTCACTGTAATTAATAGGTATAGCTCATTTTGTATTCTAACTTAATATTATGGAATGTCAACTCAATGAGAGTGAGAATTTCATTCTGTTTTGGTCACTAATATATTCCTAGTGTCTCAAATAGTGACTGGTACATAGTAGGTGCTCAATAAAATCTTGTTAAATAAATAAATTAATGAATGAATATGCTTCAAATGCTTTTACAGTCCAGCCAGCATGGATTGAGCATCATCCCATGGACTAAATTGTCCTGGTCCAATTCCCAGTCAGGGCACATGCCCAAGTTGTAGGTTCAATTCCTAGTAGGGGGCATGCAGGAGGCAGCTGATCAATGTTTCTCTCTCACATTGATGTTTCTCTCCTCCCCCCCCTCTAAAAAAAATCAATAAAAACAAAGTTTTAAAAATCCTTTTACGGTCATCTAACATTAAAATGTTGTGGCATGTTTAAAGAGAACTGTTGTTTTTCCCCATAGTAATTCTATTAATTCTTCTGAAATGTCTATTTACCAGTCTTTGAAAAGTGACGTATTGGGGGAAAAAAACAACAACGCTCTATTACATTTCCTGGAAGTAATTGAGAAAGTTATCATTTGTGTCATGTCAATCTGGGAGGAACATAACAAGTCTTTTAGAAGTCTTGTTTTTAAGTCATGATCCTAGATATTTTTATGTTTGGAATGATATAATGGAGAGAACGACACAAGCTGAGTGTGGTGGGGGAGTACCTGGAAGGATATTATTAGAACCAACACGGACCTAGTAATTGAAGGAGTGTGAAATGTGCCTGGAATAAGATTTAGTGAGTTGAATTTGCTGGGAGGAAAAACAGAATCCCGTCATACATAATCAGACGTATAGAGAGAGATGTCTACATTTGTTAATGTCAAGGATATGGTAATCCTAACTTGAATCAGCACTGTTAGTAGGATGTGTTAGGTGGGAAAGCACGTGATATTAAAAGGCATCACGGCAGAATGCTAGGTAGGTGTTGGATTAGAGTAGTGGACTAGGGACTGGACTTAAATTCTGGGACAGAGGTTACAAAATGGCACCTCAAAAAGCCATAAAACCACTCCAGATAGGGTTTCTTCCAGTGGAATGAAAGGAGGAAGGAAGACCTTTAAAAAGTGGGATATTTGGACATAAAAGCCAGATTTCTTGTGTTTTTTGAAAACTTAAAAATTTGACAATTTTGAGTCTTCATTCTTGCTTGTCAACAGTAGACTACTTAAGTTGGGGCATGTCCTGTCCACCCCTCCATGTCCCCACCACTTCCTAGCTCAAAAGAATCGCCTCCTATTCATTCCATTGGTGAAGGAAGGATCCCCGCCCGAAGGACACGGGATGGCTGAGCACTGGACATCGATGCTGCACAGATGAGATCGACAGAAGTTAACATGTATACTCGCAGCCCCTTGGAGACAAGGACAGGGCGGGCAATGCAGGGCAACGTGAGGGTGGCACCAGGACCAGAGTGAAGAAGCAGGGGCTTTGGAAGGCAAAAGAGCGAGGCGCCGCTGGTGCTGGGGGCGACGTGGTTGGCGTGTTTGAATGATTCTGCAGTAGGCAGGGCGCTGAAGCTCCCTGCTCGGGTGAGCAGATGTGTCCCCGGTCAGCGTGATGGGGATGGTGTTGGGTGGAGGCCTTTTCCGTGGGAGCTGAGTGGGGAGGGAGCTGTTGGTTGGGCCAGGTGAGGCCCTCCCGGTCTCACCAGAGGTCAAAGCAGCACATCATGTTGGACCTTAGTTTTAGGCCTTACACCCAGGTACCAAGCTTCACTCATTTACGTTGCTCACTCACCCCTTGTAGACACTTGCCCTGATCTAGGAGGAGGAGTTTTTCTTACTCTAGAGTTTTGAAATGGAAATACATCAGCAAGAATGGTTCTGTGGTTTTCTTCACTGAAGATAAAAAAGAAGTGCAATGAGCAAAAGCTAAGAAAAGTTTATTTTTCAACATGCACTTAAACTGCCCAGATGGTAGCTTCGAGTCCCTTTCAGGGGTTTTTGTAATCACAAGTTGGTGTTAAGAAAAACTTCATGACAGGATTGATAGTGAAATAGGTTGCCGAGGAAATATTCATTCAGCCAGTATTTTTCTATCTGCTAAAAATGTTTACTAAGCATATACTGTGTCACGTGTTGAGGCTTTAAAAACAAAAAGGCTTATTTTCTTCCTTCATACTGCTTACACTCTGCTTCGAGAAATGGAAGATTAAACTAACATCACAAGGTGGGAGGTGCTTTTGAGGCTATTGTTAGGGAAGGAAAAAATGAAAAGGAAAGAGCAGTAGATCTGCTTGGAAGCGTAAAAAATTTAAAAATAGATTATTGACTACTGGAAGGACTCAGGCATAGTCTTGAGGGTGAGAAAGATTATGCTTAGGTTTTTCCAAGTTCAGGGTTTCTGAAATCCTCAGTTTGAAAATGAGTACGTTCTGTGTGAAGGTACCACATGGACAGATCGTGAGACGCAGTGATTCCAAGGATCCCGTAGCTTCCGTGCCTTTCTGATAAAATGTGTCTACGGTTGATTTCTTTTTCCTTTGCCCAGTGGGGCTCTTGTTAGTCTTGTTCGTGGTTCAAGACTGCATATCCCTGATGACAAACTTCCTTGGTGGGTCATTTCCAGTAACCTGATGACCACTCTGAAGTCAGAAAGGTGGGTGCTGGGGTCTTGGCAGTGACTCAGGCCAAGGGCAGAGGGTGTGCACACCATCATCAAGTGAGTGGCCATATTTTAAAGCCAACATAGAAATAATTTGAGCATTCTTAGAAGTTGTATAGAGTTATTTATATCTTTCTCCTCTAATTTTTTAAAAAGTATAAATTAGGATTTTCCTGAGTGTATTCTGTGGAACACCAGTCTCCACAGATGCTCTTAAAACAAGGAGGGTGTTCTGTCATCAAACAGGCCTGGGAAATACAACCTATAATACATACAAACAGCCTATTTTTTTGTTTCATCCAGTGTTTCCAGTTTTCATAGCTGAACCAAAACACTTTTTTTTCTGATGTATGTTTTGTCGTTAGAGTTAGGATTCTTAAGGAACCACCTTGAGAAACCATGGTCCGAGCTGGAAGCAGATGAGTAATCAGAGGAGATTTTAGTATAAAGAGTGATTGATAAAGTGTGGGTAGAATT